CCCCACCCAAACTCCTACAATCAATCCCACTAGGTGCATCTGTGATGAAAGTCTGAAAGGTTCTTTTCCCTTCTCTTCCACCCTATAAGCTACCGAGGACTTTAAGCCACAGAGCACCTAAAAATAATCTAATCAACAGATGCATCAGCACAGATGCCTTCCTGAATCAGATAAGTAAAAGATTTTTTTTCTTTTTAAAATAAGACTGCACAGTACGAAGCATTTTTTCTCCTTTTTTCCCGTTCTAAAGATGTGAAATGCTTGAGCTACTACAGCACACATCACAGTATATTAGTGACCAAGGCTTTGTACCATAAACCATGAATATTTCAAAAGAATGTTGTGCTAGAGCTGCCAGTCTGCAGAGCAGGTAGACACAGCATCCTTCTGAAATACTGGCTGCAGATAGTAAACGTCTCTCTCTCTCTCACACACACACACACATCATGCTGGACTTCACTCTGTACAAGATTCTTCCTGGTTTTAATAATCTTTTCAAAAAGCAATTGCCGAGAAGGAAACCGAACACCCAGTTAATTACAAACCTGGCAACTTACCACTAATCACTATGATTACTGACATACCAAGAAACAAATATGGTCAAACAACAATATTATTTTTAAAGTATTCATATACAACCAAGGCTAATTCATTCATAATTTTTAAGGATGCAATACAGCTTTATGATCCTCTGGACTGAGACACCGGATAAAATAGTTCATGAAATTTAGCCAATAGATTTCTGCATCACAGTGGCTGAGTTAGAATATCTCTTTTACAAAGGCACCTGATCTTGATGTAAAAACTAGTCTGATTTACTGCATTACAAGTGCATGCTATGATCAAAGGTAATGACTATGCAAAGCATCACAACTGTGACATGAAATCACCTTATTAGTGCACACCGTTATGCTAAGGAAGTTAACAACTGAGCTGAAAACTGTCATTCAGTTTGAATCTATTTACCTAAGGAAGGAAAGCGTATGAAAAATAATAGTTTTAAAGCTGTTTCACATTTTGTAATGACTCATTTTTAGAGCAATTAACACACGAAGAATCAGAGAAAACAATGCTTTTCAAAGAGTATTGGTGAAATAAGTTTGAAGCACCTATCTTGCAATATTACAGCTACGCACAGCTTCAAGTACCGGTATATTAAAATGCATAACACATCACTGTATTGTTGTACTCTTCACATGACAGAGCCCTCCATAATAGCAGTACTGATTTTCAATGCATTTTCATTGGTTGATAAATCCCACCAGTGATGCTAGGGTTTAAAGGTCAATGCCATGGAAACAAAATCTACACATGGTAAGACATGTGAAGGTCTAAAAAAAAAAAAAAAAAA